TTTTGTAAATAAAGCTTTATTGGCACATAGGCATCCTCATTAATTTAAGTATTATCTATGACTGCTTTTGCACTACAACAGCAAAGTTGAATAGTTCCAACAGAGACTACCTAGCTCACAAAGCCTGAAATATTGTCTGGACCATTGGACAAAAGTTTGCCAACCTAGCCTGTAACACCATCATAAGACATGATGGGCACAAACCCTTTATTGCTGACAGATACCCCTTCTAGAAATGCATAAGAGAAACCCACCTGACTCATTCTGTGGTTCCAGTTATTTATGTAATAATATCATGGTTAACCTGAGATGCTTCTGTGGTGCTGTTATTACCAGCTTTCCGATTAAAAACTGACAAGATGAATTTGTAGAATTTATGAAGAAACAATTACTTTAAAGTTATAACCTGAAAAAATTTCTTTAAGAGCATTAACAGTATAATTCTATCTAATATTGTTCTGGTAAGCTGAAAAAAATAACCCTCTAAACTATATGCATGTCTTATCTCTGGAACCTTTGTTTCTTTATGTAGCAAAAAAGGAATTTGCAGATGTGGTTAAGTTAAGGATCTTGGGAGGGGGAGATTATGCTGGATTATCTGCCATCACAAGTATCCTTGTAAGAGAGGGGCAGGGGGAGATTTGACGCAGAAGAGGAGAAAGCATTTTGACCAGGGTAACAGAGATCCCTTGGTCACAATGGGAGGAATGCCAGCAGCCACCAGAAACCAGAAGAGACAAGGAATGAGTTCTCCCCTAGAGCCTCCAGAGGGAGCACAGCCTTTCCAACACCTTGATTTTGTTTCAGTAAAACCAATTTCAGAACTGTGAGAGAAAAAGGTTTTGTTGTTTTAAGCCACCAGCTTTATGGTAATTTATTATAGCAGCCATCAGAAACTAATACAGATTTTGGTATGAGGAAGGCGGGTGGTGCTGTAACAAATACCTAAAAATGTGAAAGTGGCTTTGAAATTAGATAATGGGCAGAGGCTGGAAGAATTTTGAGGCACATAGTAGAAAACTACTAGACTCCCTTAAACAGACTGTAGGTAGAAATATGGACGTTAAAGTGCCTGCTGGTGGGAATTCAGAAGGAAGTTGGAAGATGGGTAGAGAAAGCCATAGCATATCATCTTAGAAAATACATAAACAGTCATAAATTGAATGTTGCTAGAAATATGAATGTTAAAGGTACTGCTAGTGAGATCTCAGAAGGAAATGAGGAACATGTTATTGGAAATTTGAGGATAGGGGATTTTTGCAATATAGTGGCGGAAAACGTAGTTGAATTGTGTTCTACCGTTATGTAGAAAGCAGAATTTGTAAATGATGAGCTTGGATATTTAGCTGAGGAGTTTTCTGAGAAAAGCAGCAAAGGTTTGGCCTGGTTTCTTCTTGCTGCTTATAGTAAAATGTGAGAGAAAAGAAATGGAGGGAAGTACTTTTAAGTCCAACAGAACTAGATTTAGGAAATTCTCAGCCTATCTAGATTTCAAAAGGTACTAAAATCAGGAGACTGTTTGGGAGTATGCCCTAGAGAGAAGACCAGGAGTGTGGCTGGACAGCCTTTTGCTGGCGCTGAAGAGATGAGGTGTGCGACTCGTGAGTCCCCTCAGCCACCTCAGCAGCCACCAAGAAAGAAGGTGGGATTACACAGGAAAGATCTGTGGAGGACCCTCTTATCTAATGGTATAAATCCCCATGACATACATTGGAGACTCACAAGGTTTTTGAGAATGCTATAGCGGCATAATTACTGCCACTTTGGCCAGAAAGGGACAAGTTTGTAGTAATTCGTTCCCATAGCTTTAGGAACCAATAGCTAGCATTTAAAAATATATTACGTGCCAACACTCTGCCTGCTTTGTATGTTACTATCTCATTTAACTTAACATTAAGCCTGTGATGTAGCACTATTGTATCTTGACTTTTACAGATTTTCTTTATTTCATTATTTATTTGGCAATAGGGAAGTCACTAAATGCTTTACAAATATTTAATATTATTATTATCTCCATTTTATAGTTCACTTGTCTTCCTCCTTTACTTCAGCAAGGGCCACCAGACCCTCTTACTTTTTCTGATTGGCGAGTATTTCTTGTGTCCCATAGTGCATTTGAGGTGAATGTAATTCTGTGATGCTTTTTGTAACCTAGGCTTACATACAGAGTTCTTCAGGGATCCCTGTTTCCATCTCCAATTCTGAGGGCTAAGCATTTTGACTGACTGCAGAGGAGAGGATGGAAGCTCTCAAGAAGTGGTGAGGGCCTGGAAAGATGAGTCAGGTGACATCTAAGTATGCTGACCACTCACCTGCCATTCAGAGCGAATACCCATCTCTGATTGTTCTGCTGCCTTTGCAATGACATCAGCAACTTCTTGTGCGGATAAACAAGGAAACTCATCTGTACATGAAACTCATCTGAAACTAAGGCCTCAGGGGTGGCTGGACCCTCAAAGGATTAAAAAATCAGGTTACCCTCCTTGAATTGCAAGTATTCATTCAAGTTTGGAAGAGGGATTTTAAAGAGGTTCCTCTACCGAGAAAGAATGACTCGGATTTTTCCTTAAGGGACAAGAACATTTTACTGGACTTGCAAATGCCAATGTGATGACCTTTGCTGTATGTTTGTAGATACATCTGTGAAAGAGCTGAATTTGACCTGGACAGAGTTTATAGAAATGAAATAGTTGATTCAGAATCAAATGCTTTTATGAAACTTTTTGGATTTTGTGAAAGCATTTTAATTGTCTTAGAAATGCAGACGTTCTCTAGGGAATTCATTTGAGCGTATATTTATTTTACTCTCTGCCTATTTCAGTGTTCTCCTGAGGTGGAGCCTTTACTGGGGAGGGGCAGCAGCAATGCCAGGGTTCCATGGAGACGTGTTCTTCTCTCTGCTTCCAGTCAAAAGAAGACTTTACATGAGGTCTGCTTCTGTGCCAGTAATGTCAATGTGGAAACAGGCTATAGGTAAGGAAGACAGAATCAGCTAAGTCTAGAGCCCATTTGGCAATTTCCTGTATTCTGAAACTGACAATAGCCTGATCAAAATGAGACCATCAATTTCAAAACAGTCTACAAGAGACCTTTTGAGGGTTTATTGTCTTTACAATACCCTATAATTTTTCTTGTGTTGCGAACTCTAAAAATGAGATATTATAAACTGAGACTAATACTGGTGGTCCTCAAGAGGATTCCATGAGATTATTAGAAAAATTTGTTTTTTGATACATTTTAGGACAGGTATGTCTAAATCAAGTTACTTGCTGTTGCAAATCATATATGCTGGCTTTAGTTGGAACAAAGAAACTAGTTTCTACCCAAACTGACAGGTGTTATTATAATATCATGTATTCTTGTTGAGTTCTTTTAAAATTCTGTATCTATTCATCTGAATATTGTCAGCCACCCAGAATTTCCTTCATGAAATCTCCATGCTAATGTTCCATGTCTATATGAAGGTCTTCTTAATGACTATTCAACTATTATTCTCAGGGCTTAATCTTATACCTGTTGCCTACTATGCTGGTCTGATATTTTTTGTAGCCTTATAATAATATTGCAAATGGTCTTCTACACAAACAGATTTATAGAACATTCAAAATCCTCCATGGCTAATTGAGGTAGCTTTCTGCTTTCTTATGATTTTTTTAAAGTAAACTGTTTAATAAATAACATATACAAAAACTGTCTTCACTCCTGTATATACTCACTGAATCCAACAGTAATTGGTACCAGAGCTTAGATGGACAATCCTAAAGCACACCTTTTACCAGAATACTGTTTTGATCTTCTCTTATATGGAAAAATCAGTGTTGTCATATCGTCTGTTGTCTTCATAGCAGCTGGCATTCATCCCTGAGATCATCTTCTGATGAATAAAAATTTAGAGATATATTCACTTGTAAAAAATACAAGGAATTAGAATCTAATGATAAGAAGAATGAGTCCAAAAGACTAAGAAAAAAGGGCAATTTCCAAGATCCAAAGTATCTATACACGTGAGTAAAGTCTTGAGTTTCCGTGAGTCCGTAATCTGTTTTCCACAATCCCACAATCCCAAGAACTCTGAAAACTGAAGTTTTCATAAATTAGGCACAAATTCAATGTCTTAAACAGACATAAGGCTATTTATTTATTTAATGTAATTATTTGTATATTTTTGCCACAAAAATATTAATACATTTTATTACAGGGTGCTGAACTTTTTAATACTAGGTTTTCAAGATTTAAAAAAATTCTGGACTCTGAAATAAATCTGGCCCTCAGGAGAAAGTGATTTTGGATCTGTATGAAGCCTTTTAAAGGGTCTCATTTACAAATGAGTAACTTTTATACAAAGTCACCCATGCTGATGTGACCTGTTGCATTTTGGTGTTCAGTGCATTTCACCAAATTTGGGGAGGTGGGGACTAAGCATTACATTATTGCTTTTAGAAGCCAGGAAAAATTAATTAACAGTATACATTTTGCAATACAATTTTACCCCAAAAACTTTATAAAAGAATTGGGTCAGATTCCCAAAATGTGCTCTAGACATTAAAGATCCTTGCACTCTTGCCAGAACTAAAGTTTTCCTTGGACACTCAGTGGCTGATTTGAGACTATTAGCAACCTCATTTCAGACTAATCAAAGAGCCATCGGTCGTCTAAAATAAAAGCATGTTCCTTCCTGTGAGAGTGAGACAGGTAAGTAAATTTTGATTGGTGGGGAACTGGGTGCCAGCTATTATAATGGGAGACACAATTTCCTGGGGTTTGCTATCCATATTTCATATCCATTAAAAAAAAGTGTACCATTTTATTTGTATTAAAGGTTATTTAAAATAAGTATAATACGTACATTTCACTGAACATGAGCATAATTTGTTAGATTATGTACTGATAACAAAACTGACATATGTTCTCATATAGTTGTGACCACAATTCAGTTGCTGGATTTTACATTCTCAACAGGTTTATACAAACTACAGAACAAGAGATGAATAATGTGGAAGTGTCAAGACAACTTTTCGAATGTGCATATGCACACAGGTAGAAAAGTACCAAAACACGTGTATAAAATTGCAGGTGACCTCTGTGGAATGCTGAGGCCGCCCAGGTTGCTGGTGAAGGTTAGTACGGAATTGTATTCATTCAAAAGGCATTTGGATGTTGCAAAAGGGATGCCTGACTCATTAAATTAGGTGCATGTGAAGATTTGTGTTTTGAAACTTCTTAGTGGAGAAAAATTCTTTGACTAATTACTTCAGAAATTGATGTTCCTAAAGTGGCCTAGTGCTTAAAAGCATCTTTAAATTTTTGTTTTAATTATCAATGGGGAGAAATGGCAACACCAGATATTAAACATCTTTTGAGGAAAATTGCAAAATACTTTCCTTCATGCAAAGTCTTACTGTGCTTTTTATTGGTATGGATGAACACAGGAAAACTGGTAAATATTTAATTAGGGATGGGATACAATTTAATTTTCTTTTTTTAAAATATTACATCTCTTCACTCTAAAGCGAGTTTGCCTTTGGTAAAATTTAATTTCAACTTCATTAGCCCATAGGAGAATGAAATACTTCCCACAAATATTTTTCCAGTTGTTGAAAGCTCAGTTGGCAACTGATACACAGTGAACAAACCTCAGCCAGGAAGGTTCCATGGAAACTTTTCTATAAAATTACAACCTTGATTTGAATTCAGAATGGGCAGTCCTGTGATACCAAGTGCTAATATTGATATCAAACGAGCTTTGTGCTCAGTCTGTCTTGTAATTTCTGCTGTCTTTCATAAGTGCTCAGAATTATGCAAACTTTAGAAGAGAAATAGAAAATAACTTAAGCATGTAAATTATCTTGGCTTCTAATAAATCAAAAGCAAGTCGCCAAAGTTAATACTGAAATTTGCTACTATGCTACTCTGCTTGAGAAACAAAAGCTGGCAAAGATGAGTCAGCTTGGATCTCAGTGTCCTTTCTGTGACCGGACAAAACCGAACCTTCTCTAACCTGTTGGGCTAGCGCTTGAATTATTCTCTTTCCAGAGTTGATCATTCCATGTTACAGTCAAGGTTAAGCCTGCCTGGCAAAAGAACAAACTTTAGCTTTGTTTTTTAAAGACTTTCATTGAACTTAAAGTAGGAGAAAAATAGAATGTTTTTAAAAAGCTGAATAAAACTAGACCAAGAAGACATGAACATTTGCAGCGCACTGTTAAGCATCCCGGTCCATGAAAAAGTGCTTCTGTATAGCTCTCTGCAAAGGAAGAAGTTCTGCATGGTCAGGAAGGCCGTTTTCTTTGAATGTCGCTGGCAAAAGTCTCTGATCATCTTTGGAATTAGTTTAGGAGGAAGGTGTGGATATATATTTGTCTTTCAATCCATTTGACAAAGTATGTCACATTGCTATAAACTCCAGGCCCCAGGACTTTGGAAAAGCAGACGGAGCCCCATGAAGTTAAGCCAAATAATGTCCACTGTCCTCCAGGCCGCTCACAAACAAGAGGCCCGCCACTGTCACCCTGTAATGAAGAGCAGTTGATGTGAGTCACCGGTATGTTAGAGTCCTCCTAGGGTACAAGCTATCCTAGGGATAAATAAATCCAAACCCGGGTTAACCAACATCTTGTAGAATTTCAACAAAGCTTTCATTGTCAACCCATGAGGGAGCACGCTTCCTACAACATAAAGTGAACTTCCCAATGAACATTGTAAATGCTGAGCTTTAAAAGAGGAGGGACGACTTGGAGAAGTTCTGTATTTCTTTATGGTATCAGAGGACTTTTTGTTATTTCCTGCACTTATTCAAAAAATGTCTTGAACTTTTTTTTTTTTAATTTACTGTATCAGAACTGATTCTCTTACAGCTGAGCTCATTCTTTAATTTTAATCCATTTTATGAATTTAGAATGTACTCAAAATGAAACATTCAAGGACTCTTTTCTCACAAAAAAAAATTCTAAAACAACTCACTACTTGGAAGATTTTTGCTATGCGAATGAATGCATCAAGGAAAACACTCAGGGACCACTTACACATTTCTTAACAGTTTTTAGGACTTTTTCAAATAGCATGCTTGAAAAGAAACTACTACATAACAATTAATTACAGTAAAATATATTATTTATAACATTTTATTTCACATGCATAGAGGTTTTTCATTCTTGGTGTTTAAGTTTAGGTGTTGCAGTTGAGATTTACTCAGTTTTTTTGCCCACATATAATTAACAGTAAGACACTATGGCTTTAAAAATGCTAATATGTGCTATATCTGAAAAGATGAGAATAAGTTAGAGTGGTATATTCTTCATGGCCTCCAAAGAGAAGGATTGATACCCTAGAAAACAAGGAGGTAAGTATGTGAACTCATGGCAGAAATTTACAAATACTCCTTGCCCTGCAAGAATTTCAAACTTGGAAGTGTATCCATGGTCTTCCCACCTGGTAATGTTGGAGAGTAATAGTAATCATGTTCATTGATGCTCTTCTAAACACTTTCCCTATATTAGCTCATTTAATCCTCATGAAATCCCCACAGGTTAATAATAATTGTATTATTATGTTATTACAGAATGATTGTTTACATTTTCATTATTATTGTTGTATCCATTCTGGAGACAATGAAACTGAAGCACAGTTCTTTTATAACTTGTTCATTAGCAGAGCTGGGCGTAAAGCCCAGGCACTCTGGCACATGACTCCAACTCTGTAACTACTAGGCTGTCCTTTTTCTTAGAAATGTTAGTGAGTACAACTGCTATTAAAGCAACATTGACTTTCTGATCGTGCTGTGTGCTTTGTAGAAGTGGTGATCTTTTTTACTGAAGCAAAGTTGATTTACAGTATTGTGTTAGTTTCAGGTATACAGCAAAGTGATTGTTATACACACTTTTTCAGATTATTTTCCATTATAAGATATTGAATGTAGTTCCCTATGATATACAGTGAACCTTTGTTTCATATCAATTTCATGTATAGTAGTTTGTATCTCTTAATCCCATACTCCTAAATTATCCCTCCCTGCCTCCGTTTCTACTCGGTAACCATAAATTTGTTTTCTATGTCTGAGTCTCTTCCTTGTTTTGTATATAGGTTCATTTGTATTATGTTTTAGATTCCACATATAAGTGATATATTTGTCTTTCTCTGTCTGACTTCACTAAGTATAATCTCTAGGTCCATTTATGTGGCTACAAATGGCAACATTCCATTCTTTTTTATGGCAGAGTAGTATTCTACTGTATGTGTGTATGCATATATATATATATATACACACACACACACACATACACACATACATGTGTATATGACATCTTCTTAAACCAGTTGCCTGTTGGTGGACATTTGGGTTATTTCCATGTCTTGGCTATTGTAAATTGTGCTGCTGTGAACATTGAGGCACATTTATCTTTTCAAATAAGAGTTTTCATCTTTTCCAGATATATGGCCAGGACTGGGATTGCTGGATCATATGCTAGCTCTATTTTTAGTTTTCTAAGGAACCTCCTTACTGTTCTCCATGGTGGATGCACCAATTTACATTCCTACCAACAGTTTAGGAGAGTTCCCACTCCTCCACACCCTCTCTAGCATTTATTATTTCCAGATGTTTTGATGATGGCCATTCTGACTGGTATGAGGTGTTACCCATTGTAGTTTTGATTTGTATTCCTCTAATAATTAGCAGTGTTGAGCATCTTTTCATGTGTCTGTTGGCCACCTCTATATCGTCTTTGGAGAACCATCTATTTAAGTCTTCTGACCATTTTTTGTTTTTCTTGATACTGAGTTATATATGCTGTTTATGTATTTTAGATACTAATCCTTGTTGATCACATCATTTGCAAATATTTTTTCCCACTGTGTAGGTTGTATTTGTTTTATTGATGGTTTCCTTTGCTGTGCAAAAGCTTTTAAGTTTGATTAGGTCTCATTTGTTTATTTTTGCTTTTATTTGTTTTGCTTTAGGAGATTGTGCTAAGAAAACATATTGCTACAATTTATGTCTGAGGATGTTTTGCCTATGTTCTCTTCTAGGAGTTTTATGGTATTGTGCTTTGTATTTAGATCTTTAAAATACTTTGAGTTTATTTTTATATAGTGTGAAGGAGTGTTCCAATTTCATTGATTTACGTGTCCAGCTTTCCCAGCACCACTTGTTGAAGACACTGTCTTTTCTCCATTGTATATTCTTACCTCCTTTGTCATTGATTGTGGGTGTGTGGGCTTATTTCTGGGCTCTCTATTCTATTCCATTGATCTGTATATCTGTTTTTGTGCTAATACCATGCTATTTTGATTACAGTAGCTTTGTAGTACAGTCAGAAGTCTGGGAGGGTTATGCTTCCAGTTTCGTTCTTTTTCTTCAGTATTGCTTTGGTAATTCTGGGTTTTTTGTGGTTTCACATAAATTTTAGGAATATTTGTTCTAGTTCTTTGAAAAATATCCTGGCTAATTTGATAGGGATCACATTAAATCTGTAGATTGCTCTGGGTAGTATGGTCATTTTAACAATATTAATTCTTCCTATGCAAGAGCAGGGGATAGCTTTCCATGTCTTTAAATCATCTTCAGGTTCCCTGTAGTTTTCAGCCTAAAGGTCTTTCACCACATAGGTTAAATTTATTCCTAGGTACTTTTTGACAAAATTTTAAATGGGATTTTTTTTAACCTTCTCTTTCCGATATTTCATTGTTAGTGTAAAGAAATGCAACATGTTTTTATATGTTAATCTTTTATCCTGCTACCTTGCTGAATTCATTTATTCTAACAGTTTCTGAGTGGAGACTTTAGGATTCTCTACATAGAGTATCATATCATCTGCAAATAGTTATAGTTTTACCTATTCCCTTCCAAGTTGAATGCCATTTATTTCTTGTCTGATTTCTGTGAATAGGACTTCCAATGCTGTGTTGAGTAGAAGGAGTGAGAGTGAGCATCCTTGTCTTGATTCTGAGTCTAGCAGAAAGGCTTTTAGCTTTTCACCATTGAGTGTTAGCTGTGGGTTTGTCGTAAATGGCTTTTACTATGTTGAGATATGAATTTTTCTCACAATCATCCCTTGTGGCAGTATCATTATTTCTCTTACTTTATAGATCAAGAAGACAAAGGACCAGAGAGGTTAAGTAATCTACCCCATATCACCCAGCATTAAGGTGGCAGAATAAAGGTATGAACCCATGCCATCTGCCTTCAGAATCCAAGTACTTGACCAATCAATTTTTTTTTGTAAAAGTGATTATAACTACAATTAACAGCAAAAGGATAAGCATTAAGCTGTAAAATAGGACATTAAAATCACAAAATATGGGGGAGGGGAATACACAAATGTAGATCTTTTATAATGTGTTTGAACTTGTATGACTATCAGTTTAAAGCAAGCAGACATAGTTACGGATGAACATACTTGAACTCCATGATAACCACAAATCAAATACAACAGATTCACAAAAACCAAAAAGAAAGGAACTCAAGCATACTACAAATGGAAAAACAAAAAGAAGACGAAATGAAGAACTACAAAACACCTGGAAAACAAGATTTATAATAGCAATAAGTGTACACCTATCAAAGGACTGTCCATTGGACTAAATCATCTGAACAATGGACTAAATGCTCCAATCAAAAGACAGAGTTGGCAGATTGGATGAAAAAAAACAAGAACTCACAATATGCTGCCTACGAAAGACTCACTTAAGGGCAAAAGAAACACCCAGAGTGAAAGTGAGGGGATGGAAAAAAAGGTATTTCATACAAATGGAAACAGCAAGAAAGCAGGGATAGCAATATTCATATCAGACTCTTCCAGATCAAAAACTTGGCCAGATCATCATTTAGCATCTACTTTTTTAAAGATTCTATGCTCAGGTCTACACAAATGAATAAGAAACTCTTTTTGGCCCTAAGGGGCCAAAAGTCCACTTGGGTAATGAGAATACCTTTACAAGAAAGGAAAATCTAAGGGCTGTAAGTAAAGGCGTCTTCAAAGGAAAGGGTGATTACTTCAAGGTGGAGGAGAACATTGGCTCAGTGAAGCAGGTAGACAATTACTGGAAAACAAGAGGTGAAAAAGTAATTATTCAAAATGAAAGGGAGACGACAGCTTAAGGCACAGTTTGGTTTTTTTGGTCCTCTTTTCTTCTTTGTAATGTGGGCCTTTAGGCCAAAGTTTGTAAATTTTTTTTAACATTTTTTATTGATTTATAACCATTTTACAATGTTGTGTCAAATTCCAGTGTTCAGCACAATTTTTCAGTCATTCATGAACATATACACACTCATT